AAGCCATCACTCAGATATTTTATAGACTTTTATTTTTTGTGGCTTTTTTTTGGCATCAGTGCAGATAACGGAATAAAAGCTAAAATAACGACGATGTGAAAGCATGATTTTGTACGAAATGAGATTTGGAATTAAGCTTTCCGCAGAAAACCTCCTGGAGAGCTTCTGGAGGTCCTCTGAAGACCCTCCAGAGACCTTTTCGAATGGTTGCTCGTCATCAATTATCAGATGATGTCATATCTCATTTACCAATATCACAATTACAAACATTAGTTATACCATTTCAATCTCTTCCAAAATCGATTTCAAATGTTCAATTTTCATCAATTACATATTTATCGATTTATGAATGCAATTTAGATGAATTGTTTGTTCTATTCAATAACGAATCGAAGCTAAATTATTTGAAAATACAATGTTTCTCTCTCAACATTAAATATATAAGAAGAGATGATGCTAGGTGTTTCAATAATTCAGCGAATACTCTTAGAACATTACATATTAATGAGAACTGTAGCCATTTAAATTGTCTTTTTATGTTATTAGAATTAACACCAAATTTAGAAAACTTAATAATATCAAGTAATTATGAGCTAAGTGTCATCAATGCTTTTCAATGGCAAAATTTCATAACTTCTTCATTATCCCATTTAAAGAATTTTAAATTTATATTTTATGTTGATATTGGATCAGAAAGTGATATTAATGAACAAAGTTTTGAAGAATTTCAGAATGATTTCTGGTGTAATGAACATCATTGGTATACGGAATATATCATATCAGAATCTTCAGCATTAATTTATACTATTCCATATTGCTTGGATGTATTTGAACTTCCGCCAAATGGTAATAGATATTATAATCAATCAATCAATCATGTGAAAACATTTAATAATGTAAAAGATTTAACAGTTCCTCATAGAACTCGAATGAAGAACTGTCAATATTATTTTTCAAATATTCAGTCCTTGTCACTTGGAAGTCCACATGAATCATATCGTAATTATGCCGTGGATAACTTTTCTCATTTGAATTATCTTCAAACAATCATTAATTTATCAAATATCAAACATTTAACTGTATTATATGATTTTTGCTTTAGAACAACAGATATATTTAAAGAAATATTCAAATCTGCAACACAATTAACTTCATTAACAATCAAATTCTCTGATTTATTTGTATGGTTCAAAGATGATGAACTCTGCAAATATTTAAATAAATCTATTCGAAAATTGGAGATCACTTATGTTTCATTCCATAACTCAGATGAATTCGGACAATTCTGTAAAACGTTTGTTAATATTGAACACCTTAAATGTTCCATAAGTCATTTAAAGACTCCATGGTTAATCAAACATTTACCTAAATTAACATATTTAGAAAATTATGAACAAAATTCGAAGGACGAAATATGTTCGATTAAAAAAGAAATCGAAAAACTTGGATTAGATATAAGTGCTGAATTTAGCAGTGAAGATTATTATTTTGATTTATATATTTGGATCAATCGAATTTAAATCAATAAAAAATTTCTTTCTTCTCTTATTTATTTTTATTATGACACAAATAATTTTCATATTGGTTTAATACAGATTTTGTTCGTTTTGCATAAAAATTCTTGAGGGTGTGGGTGTGGTTCGTTTTCTGAGAGTTACTCTTCACCATCACGCTCACCCTCGGACGTGTGCTGGTTGTACTATATCATATTCTGTGTTCCATACGCGTAATATTCTTGCCATTCTCTTTTTTTCTTTTTTAGCTTGATTTAAGCAAGTTTTGAGGGAAAAAACTTCGAAATACTGGGAAGGACCAGAAAACCTTCAAAAATTTCGCTCTACTTTTTTCCCTTCGTATTAAAACTCTTTGAAACTATTTTTTCCGAACTTCTCATCAAAAAATGAGTCTAAAAAACTGTCTTTCAAAAGCTTTGATCGAGATTTGAAGTTTTACAA